TAAATGATTGTAGTATTTTCTACAAATAAATAGTGGCAGTGAGTAGCAGTAGCAGCTACTGCCAGCTACACAGTAGCATTATTTATTCTTATCATAATTGTATTGTAGTGCACAAAAGTTCTTCTAAAGGTCATTTAATGATGCTCATTAATTTGGTTTTTATTTTTATATAAAAGGGGCAGCAGGCACACTTGTGGGAATTTCGAGGTGAGTTTGAGAGTGTTAAGTTAAAAAAGTTACAGGAAAATCCATTAAAAATATAATTTTTGAGCAGCAGGAGCTAGCCTAGACTATAGATTAGACTATAGACTAGACTATAGACTAGACTATAGACCAGACTACTAGACTACCAGACTAGACTATAGACTAGACAATAGACTAACTATAGACTAGACTAGACTAGACTATAGACTAGACTATAGACTAGACTATAGACTAGACTATAGACTAGACTATAGACTAGACTATAGACTAGACTATAGACTAGACTATAGACTAGACTATAGACTAGACTATAGACTAGACTATAGACTAGACTATAAACTAGACTATAGACTAGACTATAAACTAGACTATAGACTAGACTATAAACCAGACTATAGACTAGACTATAGACTAGACTATAGACTAGACTATAGACTAGACTATAGACTAGACTATAGACTAGACTATAGACTAGACTATAGACTAGACTAGACTGGACTATAGACTAGACTATAGACTAGACTATAGACTAGACTAGACTATAGACTAAACTATAGACTAGACTATAGACTAGACTATAGACTAGACTATAGACTAGACTATGGACTAGTCTATATACTAGACTATAGACTAGACTATAGAGTAGACTATGGACTAGACTATAGACTAGACTATAGACTAGACTATAGACTAGACTATAGACTAGACTATAGACTAGACTATAGACTAGACTATAGACTAGACTATAGACTAGACTATAGACTAGACTATAGATAGACTATAGACTAGACTATAGACTAGACTATAGACTAGACTATAGACTAGACTATAGACTAGACTATAGACTTGACTATAGACTAGATATAGACTAGACTATAGACTTGACTATAGACTAGTCTATAGACTAGACTATAGACTAGACTATAGACTAGACTATAGACTAGACTATAGACTAGACTATAGACTAGGACTATAGACTAGACTATAGACTAGACTATAGACTAGACTATAGACTAGACTATAGACCTAGACTATAGACTAGACTATAGACTAGACTATAGACTAGACTATAGACTAGACTATAGACTAGACTATAGACTAGACTATAGACTAGACTATAGACTAGACTATAGACTAGACTATAGACTAGACTATAGACTAGACTATAGACTAGGACTATAGACTAGACTATAGACTAGACTATAGACTAGACTATAGGACTAGACTATAGACTAGACTATAGACTAGACTATAGACTTGACTATAGACTAGACTATAGACTAGACTATAGACCAGACTATAGACTAGACTATAGACTAGACTATATACTAGACTATAGACTAGACTATAGACTAGACTATAGACTAGACCAGCGGTTCCCACCGATTTTTACTTCGCGGACCCCTTGAAGAACTTATTTAATTTCGCGGACCCCCCATACATATTTTGATATCTTATTGTTCTAAATAATTGTCCATCCGAAAATTGACCTAGTTCATTAATTCCTAGGTCTAATAAATGTAGAGATGTCATATCTATAAAATATTCCCGTACATTGAGAATACATAATATTTCAGATAGGTTTTCAATTGCATGTTTTGAAGATAGAATGACTTCTTTGTTGATATGTTAACATGATGTTTAATTTTATGATCGTGAGATCTTTCATGTTCATTTTTCTTCAAGGTAGCGAAAAGGTTTCTTTATCACATATTGTTACATGTGCTTAAGGAGTCACGTTTCAAAAATTTGTTGCGATTGCAAAGGGTGAACTGAGTAAGTGAGCTAAGTTTTCGGGAAAATAATATAAAAAAGTTGGACTTCTTCTATGTTGTTGCGGAATGCGTTGTCCGCATAATATATGATTTGAACTCTTTGTTAAAGTACTGTGAATTTGGAACTTAAATTTGAATTTTAAAATACCAACGAATTATTTTACTTCATTGTTTTTGGCTACATATTTACGCGAAACGCTATGGATTTTCTGATGTTAATTTAATAATATGTATTGGTCGACAAAATCAAGTTAAAATCTGTGTATCACGTCGGATTGGAATATTTATAAAGAGATGCATAAAGAGTCACCTCTGTTTTGGAAATATATAATTTTAGTCCTTTCAAACAAGAACACTTTTGCTTACAATTTGATAAACTTAAATCTGTAATAAGCTTGTCTTTGAATTGAACTTCATACTCCGGAATACCAGTATCCCTAATTTAATTGTAAGGCAGAGTATTATTTGTCTGAAATAAAAACCATTATTTCAGTACATATACAGGAAATAAAAATTAAAAATCACGCAATACTTTAATTTATAAAAGTTATACAATAAATTTGTAGGGCCTAGCTTCTTCCTGATAAACAACCGAAAAAATAAAATTCAAAAAGTCACCAAAAGATTTGGGATTATTGCACAAAAATTGGAGATATTTGTACATACATATAAAAGCAGAATATTGTTTAATCATGGTTTTTTTCGTTCGTCTTCGCGGACCCCCTAGGATTTTACTACGGACCACTAGGGGTCCGCGGACCCCCATTTGGGAACCGTTGGACTAGACTATAGACCAGACTATAGACTAGACTATAGACTAGACTATAGACTAGACTATAGACTAGACTATAGACCAGACTATAGACTAGACTATAGACTAGACTATAGACTAGACTATAGACTAGACTATAGACTAGACTATAGACTAGACTATAGACTAGACTATAGACTAAACTATAGACTAGCCTATAGACTAGACTATAGACTAAACTATAGACTAGCCTATAGACTAGACTATAGACTAGACTATAGGACTAGACTAGACTATAGACTAGACTATAGACTAGACTATAGACTAGACTATAGACTAGACTATAGACTAGACTATAGACTAGACTATAGACTAGACTATAGACTAGACTATAGACTAGACTATAGACTAGACTATAGACTAGACTATAGACCAGACTATAGACTAGACTACAGACTAGACTATAGACTAGACTATAGACTAGACTATAGACTAGACTATAGACTAAACTATAGACTAGCCTATAGACTAGACTATAGACTAGACTATAGACTAGACTATAGACTAGACTATAGACTAGACTATAGACTAGACTATAGACTAGACTATAGACTAGACTATAGACTAGACTATAGACTAGACTATAGACTAGACTATAGACTAGACTATAGACTAGACTATAGACTAGACTATAGACTAGACTATAGACTAGACTATAGACTAGACTATAGACTAGACTATAGACTAGACTATAGACTAGACTATAGACTAGACTATAGACTAGACTATAGACTAGACTATAGACTAGACTATAGACTAGACTATAGACTAGACTATAGACTAGACTATAGACTAGACTATAGACTAGACTAGACTAGACTATAGACTAGACTATAGACTAGACTAGACTAGACTATAGACTAGACTATAGACTAGACTATAGACTAGACTATAGACTAGACTATAGACTAGACTATAGACTAGACTATAGACTAGACTATAGACTAGACTATAGACTAGACTATAGACTAGACTATAGACTAGACTATAGACTAGACTATAGACTAGACTATAGACTAGACTATAGACTAGACTATAGACTAGACTATAGACTAGACTATAGACTAGACTATAGACTAGACTATAGACTAGACTACAGACTAGGCTATAGACTAGTCTACAGAACAGACTATAGACTAGACTATAGACTAGACTATAGACTAGACTATAGACTAGACTATAGACTAGACTATAGACTAGACTACAGACTAGGCTATAGACTAGACTATAGACTAGACTACAGAACAGACTATAGACTAGACTACAGACTAGACTACAGACTAGACTATAGGCTAAAGGCTAGACTATAGACTAGACTATAGACCATACTATAGATTAGACTAAATACTAGACTATATACTAGACTATAGACTAGACTATATGCTAGATTTTATACTAGGCTATAGACTAGACTATATACTAGAATACAGACTAGACTGTATACTATACTATAGACTATACTATAGACTATACTATGGACTATGCCATAGACTATACTATAGACTAGACTATACTATACTATAGACTAGACTATACTATACTATAGACTAGACTATAGACTCGACTACAGACTAGACTTTATACTAGACGTACAATACTATAGACTATACTATAGACAAGACATAAAGTAGGTTATAGACTAGACTAGACTATATACAACACTATAGACTTGACTATTGACTAGACTATAGACTAGTCTATAGACTAGACTATAGACTAGACTATAGACTAGACTATAGACTAGACTATAGAGTAGACTATAGACTAGACTATAGAGTAGTCTATAGACTATACTATAGACTACACCTTAGACTACACTATAGACTACTGAGTGGACTATTTATCAAAAATTTATAATGGTATTTTTGGATATCAAAAAGTACTGAATTTTCCATGCAGGTCGGCTCAATAACTCTTAACTTACAAGGAAATTTAATAGAATTTTTGTTCTCTCACAAAAAAACATAATTTTCCAATTAGAAATTTTCTTTTACTTTAAATTTAAAAAAAATATATGTATTTATATGTATGTATGTATATCCAACAGCTGTGCTAAACGATCCTTTTTATTATTTTCCTCCTTAAATTTTCTTGTCACTTGCTTTTTAATTTCTTTTTTAACACATACATAATTTTTACTTACGAAAAGGACCATAATTTAACAATAATTTTATTTTCTTTTATAATTTAACACAATATAATTTACTCACATTTTTTGTTTAGCAGTTAATTGCGCATGAATCTCTAATACGGAGAATCAGTTTCAAGGATACCAGGCGTATTTTGTTTTTCGAAATAAAGAGAAATTCTCCACAAAAATAAAAACTCTACACAAACACTTAATTTTTTTTTTTTGCTCCTTGTAGGGAAGCTGTTTACAAACAATAGAGGTTTTTTCTTTTTTTGTTTAGCAAGGATGTTGGTTTTTTGGAATTTTAATATAAACAATTGCACACAAAACACTTGTTTTTCATTCGTGTTAATTTTATTTCTTTTTTTCAAAATTTTTTTTTTGTATATTTTTTGGTTTTAAATGGAAATTTTATTTGAAATCAATTGATTAGACAGACAATTGGTCATGTAGCATGCTAAAGTTACACTAAAATCTTTTTCTTATTGTCTGGCTTTTGTTGTTGATTATCTCCCCAAAAACAAATCTCAAACTACAAAAGAAAAACAAAATTCAAACACAACAAAATCAAACAAACACACTCAAGCAAACGTCTGCATATGTATAATATAAATTTTATATAAAAATCATGTTGTTTTTGTTGTTTGTATGAGACCGGTATTTGTATACAACAAGAAGAAAAAAAAAAAAAAACAAAATACAACAAATTCTTGTTTGCATTTTGCTTGTGTTTATGTGGAAAGAAAAACTCACTCAATTATTTTACTCATTTACACTCAATCACTTGTTTATATTTTCTTGTTATACCCTACACCACTTTAGTGGGGAGGGTATATTGGGTTTGTGCTGATGTTTGTAACGCACAATAATATTGGTCCTATACCCACCTTAAAGTATACCAATCGGCTCAGAATCATTTTCTGAGTCGATTTAGCTATGTCCGTCCGTCTGTCCGTCCGTCTGTCCGTCTGTCCGTCCGTCCATGTAAACCTTGTAATCAAACTACAGGTCGCAATTTTGAAGATAATTCAATGAAATTTGGTACATGATCTTCTATTGTCCCAGGGACGAAGCCTATTGAAAATGGTTAAGATCGGTTCATTATTTCACCTAGCCCCCATACAACTGAACCCCCCAATAGGGCTTGTAATCCTTGTAATCAAACTACAGGTCGCAATCTTAGAGATAATTCAATGAAATTAGGCACATGATCTTTTATGGTACCGTAGACGAAGCCTATTGAAAATGGTTACCATCGGTCCATTATTTCACCTAGCCCCCATACAACTGAACCCCCGAATATGGCTTTTAAAACTTGTAATCAAACTACAGGTCGCAATTTTGGAGATAATTCAATGAAATTTGGTACATGATCTTTTATGGTACCGTAGACGAAGCCTATTGAAAATGGTTACCATCGGTCCATTATTTCACCTAGCCCCCATACAACTGAACCCCCGAATAGGGCTTTTAAAATTTGTAATCAAACTACAGGTCGCAAGTTTGGAGATAATTCAATGAAATTTGGCTCATGATCTTTTATGGTACCGTAGATGAAGCCTGTTGAAAATGGTTTACATCGGTCCATTATTTCACCTAGCCCCCATACAACCGAACCCGCCGAATAGGCCTTTTAAGTTCATAATTATGTTTAATATACTCATATCTCGACAAAAAGCTGCAAAAACCAAGTTGTATACAAGACTTGATGACCCCCATGAATTCCATAATAATAGGTTCTCATATGACCCTAGCCCCTATGAAAAGCCCCCATCAAAATTTCACTTAAATGTCCACAATTTTATTCAACAATAAACGGCTTAAGTATGTATATCTAAGGTAAGGTACAATTCAACTTAAATGCTTCATTATGGCAACTAAATCACATTATATTTTTGTCAAAGGTGTAGGGTATTATATGGTCGGCCTCGCCCCGACTATAACTTCTTACTTGTTTTTGTTTGAGTTGTATTTGAACAAAAAAATATCATTACTTGGGGATTTATTGCAACATAAACGTTTTAGTTTGTTTTTTTTTTTGTTTGTTTGCAACAAAATAAACAATTAAAGGTTTTCAATTTCTTCAGAAACTTTATCTTTATTTCCATATTTATTTTTACCGTTTTATTTTGCGTACAAAAAAATAAAAAAAAAAATTAAAATAAACAACAAAGACACATAAAAAATGTGTAGAAAAAAAAACTATACATCAAATATTGATTGATGATTTCGTTGTCGACACGACGCGTTCAACAAACAATATTACAGTAGAGTACAGTAGCAAGTATATACTAAGTACAGTGGTATTAATTAGCAAATTTCAATAACAAAAAAGGAACCAAAAAGTAAAAGTACTATTAACCAGCAGTTACTTAAAGACTTCCATAATCTGGTGTACTTTTTTGGACAGTAAGTGGTCACTTGTTCTGTTTTCATATTGCAAATATTTGTCATCTCGTACCACTGTGCTAGCATAACTTAACTGATGGAAATCGGTGAAAAAGAAAGAGTAGCGCATAATTTCAGCATAATATGTTTTTTTCTTAATGTTTTTTTTTTTTGTATTTTGTCAATACCAATATGTATTAGTTAAACCCCGTAGGAAAATAATTGTAAATACAATTTTACTGAAATTAATAATGATCTTAATGAGGTAAAAGTGTAATTATATATTTGGAAATTTTAAATATTTTAGTAATTGTTAAAAATAAATTAAATTATTTAGGTAATTAAGTGTTATGTATTATAAAACATCAAAATAGCCTAAAGGTAATTATGGCACTTTGTTTTAACAAATATCAATTAACTAATTGCAATATCGTCACTTTCGTTTAGCATTTAGAAAAACACTTACAACATAATCTTATGGTCCAGACTATATTTCAAAACATAGAGCAGACTATAGCTCAAACGACAGTTAAGAATATAACTCAAGCAAAAGTTATGTCTATAGTCCCTTGACTAACTGACTGACTGATTGACTAACTGCATGTTATTGTTCAGACTATAGATCAGACTGTATTTCGGTTCATAGTTGAAACAACAGTTAATGCTTTAGCTTAAGCTATAGTAAAGTCTTTAGTCACGATTATAGTTATAAATATAGTCCAGACGGCAGTTCATGTTATAGCTAACGCTATAGTCCAGACGGCAGTTCATGTTATAGTCCAGATTGTAGTTAAGGCTATTGACCAAACGGCTATTCATGTTATACCCCAAGCAGTAGTTAGTCCAGGTTGTAGTTAAGTCTATAGTCCAGAATATAATTTAGAATATAGTACAACCTGTAGCTTAGATTATAGGCCAAGCTAATCCAGACGTATTCCAGATTACAGAACATACTTCAATACAACAGAGTCATTCGTGAAGAAGGATTTTTGTTTGTTAGTTGTTTAGTTAGTTAGTTAGTTAGTTAGTTAGTTAGTTAGTTAGTTAGTTAGTTAGTTAGTTAGTTAGTTAGTTAGTTAGTTAGTTAGTTAGTTAGTTAGTTAGTTAGTTAGTAGTTAGTTAGTTAGTTAGTTAGTTAGTTAGTTAGTTAGTTAGTTAGTTAGTTAGTTAGTTAGTTAGTTAGTTAGTTAGTTAGTTAGTTAGTTAGTTAGTTAGTTAGTAGTTAGTTAGTAGTTAGTTAGTTAGTTAGTTAGTTAGTTAGTTAGTTAGTTAGTTAGTTAGTTAGTTAGTTAGTTAGTTAGTTAGTTAGTTAGTTAGTTAGTTAGTTAGTTAGTTAGTTAGTTAGTTAGTTAGTTAGTTAGTTAGTTAGTTAGTAGTTAGTTAGTTAGTAGTTAGTTAGTTAGTTAGTTAGTTAGTTAGTTAGTAGTTAGTTAGTTAGTTAGTTAGTTAGTTAGTTAGTTAGTTAGTTAGTTAGTTAGTTAGTTAGTTAGTTAGTTAGTTAGTTAGTTAGTTAGTTAGTTAGTTAGTTAGTTAGTTAGTTAGTTAGTAGTTAGTTAGTTAGTTAGTTAGTTAGTTAGTTAGTTAGTTAGTTAGTTAGTTAGTTAGTAGTTAGTTAGTTAGTTAGTTAGTTAGTTAGTTAGTTAGTAGTTAGTTAGTTAGTAGTAGTAGTTAGTTAGTTAGTAGTAGTTAGTTAGTTAGTTAGTTAGTTAGTTAGTAGTTAGTTAGTAGTTAGTTAGTTAGTTAGTTAGTTAGTTAGTTAGTTAGTTAGTTAGTTAGTTAGTAGTTAGTTAGTTAGTTAGTTAGTTAGTTAGTTAGTTAGTTAGTTAGTTAGTTAGTTAGTTAGTTAGTTAGTTAGTTAGTTAGTTAGTTAGTTAGTTAGTTAGTTAGTTAGTAGTTAGTTAGTTAGTTAGTTAGTTAGTTAGTTAGTTAGTTAGTAGTTAGTTAGTTAGTTAGTTAGTTAGTTAGTAGTTAGTTAGTTAGTTAGTTAGTTAGTTAGTTAGTTAGTTAGTTAGTTAGTTAGTTAGTTAGTTAGTTAGTTAGTTAGTTATGAAATCAGATTCATGCTATCAAATTTTATGTATTTGAACACAGGAGTTCTAAAACTAAATTCACTAGATTTCCTATTAGGGCTCATACTTCTCCAACTATATAACGATTTACACTCAGTGATAGGAACTAGTTTCTTTTTTTGAAAGGGGAATGAACAGTCGGTGTGTTGGTTATACAGCAGAATGTACGATTATCAAGTGGATAATCTTATCCATCTCACCAAGCATTTGTGTATAAAAGTTTAGATTGATGATGATGGATATTTTTCTCTGCTATTCTTTAACATTCTATTAAGTTCTTTACAATACTAGTTGTTGCTAAAAATAATTTCATTCACTTTACTATACATTGCTAATGTCATTTAAGTTTTTCATTGAATACTCTTTTTGTTTTGCTTAAATATTTACGTTGTTTCTTGATCGTATTTGGGGAACGTAGATGGTATGCATGTCAATTCCCAGGAACTGTAAATAATTGTTAGTACAATTGGACAACTGATAAGACAAATAATACAATTTGAAAAATATATTGACTGCTGCGCCACAGTTTTAATTTTTGATGTGCGTTCTTATAGAGAAAGAACTGCTGCATATTGTATTTGAGTTAATGTTATCAACATTTTAGTTTTTTTTTTCTTTTAATATTGTTATGATTTATTTTCTTTTCGATTTTATTTACTTTAGTATAAAATCCATTTGATGTTCGCTGGTCTTTTATTTTAATATTTGTATGCGGTTGGTATTGGTTCCACCAATATTTCTTTTTTGAAGTTTATTTAATTTGTTGTTATTTCAACGAGATTTATTATGTCGATGTTTTTTGAATTTTTTTTATTATATTTATTTTATTTTTCGTTTTTATGTATCATATACGACAAAAGGCAATTTTTTCAGTTTCTGGTATTTAATTGATAAACAAAAGTGATTTATTGTTAAATTCTTGGTATAAACAAACACACACTCACACATACAGTCACACACACCCATTGTTTGTTTTGATATTTTTGTCATGTCCTTTTTTCTGAGTGGGGTGTGTTTTGTTGGTTG